ACACGCAAGATTGTCAACCTACATCAGCTGAATCCATCAGATACGGCTCTCAAAGTTACAGGTACCGCAGTACAAGTCCAATCCGGTGTTGTGCAGTAAATAGGTCGGCTAAAAGTTGTCCCATCTCTCGCGCGTGCCGAACTGAACTTACAAACGTCCGACGCAGCTGCCGTCTCGATGCTTTCAGATATCTACGAGTCTACAACACAAGAAACTAGTCTACATTATACACAACAGTTTTTATTATATCTGGACAAGGGACATAGAAATCAGCGAGAATATTTAATACAAATTTTAATGTAGAACGGTCGCGTGAATTTTGAAATCCTTTATGATGCACTCTTCATCGAGCATCGGTTTTAGCAAACTCCTCCATCCCACAAACTAGACGTAGAAGTGGTAATAAGCCTGCAACGTGGCTTTAATATTGTGGTAATACAAACTTGGAGTTAACAACATTATTTTGATTATAGTGTGTGGATTCAACTTGCAGTTTTTAATTAAACTCAAATATGCATTATCTACTTTTATTTGGTGTTTAGGTACAGGTAGGGTTAAGTTCAAGGTTAATTTATTAATTACCTCGTTCAAGAGCTGTATTTGTATACGTACTTTAATAAACTTAAGGACTAAACAATCCAAATTATCTATGCGTATTACCGTGCAAAGTTAACGCCAGTTTCCATAATTGAAATGTTAAATTGTCATTTACCCAAAAGGATTAAGAATCCCAAGTATTTCCATATACCGAACAACTATCTGAAACACGAACAGGTAAGTATCCAAGTTTCCCGCACGTTATTAAACGCGCAGTCATATCGGAATTGCTATAATCGAATACGCTTCGATTCATAATCGTATTAAACCGGGGGTCTGTATCGATTATATCGAGTAGATACACATGCTGAGAGCGGAACCGATAGCCAAATAAACTAGCAAACCGCATCGATTACCTGTCAATGGCAGCCTCCGTTGGAGTGACCGCGTCGCCGGACCAACCGAGACCGTCCTGACTGGAGGTACCGACGTTTAATTACGCAATACTTTAACTTCAGATATTAATTAAAACTCTACAGTACCAAGCTACATACTTAGACTTATGCATAAAAGTCTCTTTGAGTTCCATGAAATCCTTTAGCAATTACAACGGGAATATTCTTAGTAAATGCCATTAAAAACAAAATTTAAAATTCATATTATAACACCGTAAAAAGACAGAAGAATTTGCACAGCAATTTCATTATATTATGGTGTTAACAACACAATAGAGGGAACTTTGTCTTGACGAAACTTTTCTACACTTTTAATAAGAAGCCCATTCATCGCATACTTTTCATTAAAGGAGAACTGGTGAAGAAGGGGATGGCTTTATCGCTGTAACTCGTGACACCAGAAAATTAAAAGTGCGGAGTCATAGTTGGGCTATCTTAGAAAATAGGGTGACTGGCTCCTACAGAACTTAATTAATCGACGCTTAAGCCGCTCGGTGGACATGTCCTACAATCGATACCTAGATGGAGACACTGACGTCGTATACTTTAGGACGTAAATAAAATTTTACAACGTTTGAAAATACAGAACGAATTAATAAAATTTTAGTGTACACCCCAATAGTATAAGTAAGTAACTGCTTAGTTGAGAAAAATAATTTGCTGCTTTTAAATTTATATTAATTTACAAAAAAGAATGTTGGATAGAAATCAATGGCCACTCTAATTTATCAATAAATACATAGAAGATACAAACGACTGGCTACTGTTTACCACTAAACTGTAGACAGGCCCTTTAGACGCTCAAGTATTGGTGGTGCGCCCTCTCATGGCTGTTTCTGACACATAATCGATAGTGCACGAGATGTGTGGCTTTAGCATTGCTGTAATGGTATTGATAAAATCAATACCACGCATAAATACAATGCAAAATCTCAACAGACGAAATCAATAAACTTTACTTAAGTATGAAACTTCAGTACTGAGTTTAAATAATAGTTAACGAAGTATACCTAAGCCCAAGTCTGAAGGGTGAAGTTGAAGGGAATAAGTGGGCAGTCAAGATTATTATTTAGATATCTACCTACTTCAGTTCACAAATACATTTTGAAATACCTAATTAGCTGGATTTTAATAAGATAGGTAGTTGTAAAAACTGCGTATTAGTAACTTATACTGAATATTAATTCGTAAGTAAGAGTAAGATCAGCCGGGGTCGCGAGTCAAGCGCAATTATGTAGGTACACCGCGGCCTGATCCTTTTTTTGTCAGAGGAAAATCATCAAATGACTTCTCCCGCCCAGCATTAGGCGAGAGAAAGTGTCAGACTCTTACTGACTAAAAACTCCCCCATTCCTTCTCCTGCTCTAGGCCGAGGCTGCGGTGATTGATCATTGCGTTTAACCCGCAACCCCGGCTCAACATCAGCCCTATAGGGCCCCGTCCATTGGCTCTTTGAGACGCGCGCGGAACGCTATGCGCCGTAAGTATACTCGAGTCTGGTTCTGGTCGGGTGGCGAGCTACCCCTACTCGCCGTCCGCAGACGCTTACGGTGGCCGGAGACCATCTCTCGACCGCGGCCTGATCCTGGAGTAGAAAAATGGGCGGAGGTGGTTTTTGTCAGTAAGAGTCTGACACTCCCTCTCGCCCCGCCCAGGTAGAGAAAAGTTATTTGATGTACCCAATAAGAAAAAGAAACAGGCTGCACCTTATTCCTCTTGACATAAACGTGAATTCTCATTGAATCTCATGCAGCATGTCGTGCGGTCCAACATTACATACATTGCACATATTGTTCGCAAGTTTGTGACTGCGCGGACGATGGCGTGGTTTGTTGCTGCCTCAATGTACGACAAATGCGTGACGCGCAGTGCAACTCCCTGCCTGTTTGTAAACAAGGCTTTACTATTATTTCTGGTGTTTTATTAACGTTTCTACCGTGCCAAACTTTCGAAAAACTTAAACCTTACAAGATCCTTAATAATTATGATCTATCGGTTAAGGTAATTCCCTAAATGTAAACAAACTTGGCGTGTCTTTTTATCTAAAAGTTGTCTAAAAATTTTAGTTAAGTTAGTATTTGTATAAACATAGTCTGGCCATAAATACTGTTACAATTAAAAATAAACAAAATATTATATTTGAATTTGGAATCTGTCATTTTTATATAATTCTTCATTGTGTTTTCTTATTTTGGCGCCAATAAATTGTTCAATATTTTGCGATATTAAAATGGAGTGGAGTGATAAAGAGAACCGAATCGCTGTGATTGCATTACATAAAGTGGGTATCTACGTCCTCCTTCATATAAAAGGGGCATACCAAGATCATTACCTATAGTTAAACACCTAAACCGATAGACTACATATAGTATTTACCAGACTACTAGTCAAATTATGATGTTCACACTAGTTACAACTCAGAAGTCTGTCTTAGAGAATGACTGAAGAATAGAACGCGAGACTACAACTTCAACTACACACGAGTTCATTAGCTTTTACGTGAGAAGACTATTTGAGTTCTGCTTTGGCGTAAACGTTTCGGATGGCTTTGACTCTGACTATAAGTGCAACGAGAACAGAACGCCATAAAGATACTAGTAAGTTGGTAACAACCGAATTTAATTTGCTACTTCTAGTTGTTTTGAAAACCCCAGACCTGAACAATAGTCTGTTAACCTCAGGAAGAATTATCTTTTTTTCTTTTATTATACAGAATTAGCGATAGGTACCTACGTAACAATTTAAGGTACATATTATAAAACTTCCTATATATTAAGGATAGGAAAGCGTTACCTGATTTCACACAAAACCCTTGTTATTTTTTGGTAGGTATCCGACTAAATGTGTATCACCTTAACAGACGTTAACCAAAATATAGAAATTCGCACAACAAACAAAACTTGGTCAGTGTAACTAACGTCTTCGTTGGGATTCCACTGCGTCGACAAACTCCTAAAAGTTTGGTTGAAACTTAATTTAGCTGGACTAGTCCACGACCGCTGATGGAAAGTTTTAGCAAAGCTCTGTACTAATGGAAGGCGAACTAAATAACTGCAAGCCTTCTAACAACTGAGCGAATCCTGAGGCCTGGTATGTATTTACCTACTTATACGTTAGTAAAAATATTATTATCTTCTATCACTTAAACTTATCTATCTACCTACATACCTTTCTAAAGCTACAAAGTTGACATTAAACAGGAGAGCCTCAAAACTTTTTCAAGATGCTAAACATGTAGGTAGGTAGATTTTGTTTGTCTCTTTTATGTGTGCAAATGTACCCTTCGGATTGGCAATAAAAAGTTAACGTAATAATATATATAAAAACATTAACACGTCTCGTAAACTCTACAAGTTATAACCCATTTTTTCCTTACTCCTACTTCTGCTTCACTGAAACAACGTGATCAAAACTTTTAAGTCTGACGGTCGTTAAAATTTGGTGAAACTCATATAATGTTGGTACGTGCTTCATTGGTATTCAAATTACCTTCCGCCCATAGGTATAGGGCTCTGTATATTTCAGATTCAAATAACTAACTAGACACACGTATTTTAAAAACATACCATTGATTTGAACTTCTGTATCTGCTTCAATTACCTCTTCATCACATCACATCTTACCTCCAGCATTTTTGAACGCCACAAAAACGATTAGCGACCTTGGAGGAGCCAATAACCAAGATTACTCGAGTTCCATTCTTAGGTCAAGCAATGTATTATAACACCATAGCATTTGGTTTTTATAATATTCTCACTAATTACACAAACCCAGCCTCATAGCATAACTTTAAATCTCATATTATATATAATTATGTTATGTTATGTTATGCACCTTACGCAGCAGTACTAATTGCAAAAGTGTCACAAAAAAATATCCAAATTTTGTTCTTTAGTCGATTACACGACCCGTACACGAAATTAGTAAAAAATGACCTCAACACTATTAAGAAACCATAGACTGTAGAGCATGAAATGAAATGAATGCGATTTCTAATAGGACAACACTACGCGTACGCGACGCGCCGTTCACATCTGTCACGTTTCTCACACAAAATATTTATCAATTTATTTTCGCCAAATACAGCTGTAAATTGTTAGTTATACTTTATCCACACGTTTTTGAGTATAACAATAGTAAATTCAATAACTGACCTGTTATTTCTTTTCCAGATGTATCAATACAGTGTTTAGAAATGGACCAACAATTCTCATTGTCCTGGAATAATTTTCACGGGAATCTCACTAAAGGATTCGCCGGTTTATTAGGAAATGGCGAATTTGTCGATGTTACTATAGCTGTCGAAGGTCATTTGTTGCAAGCACACAAAGTGATACTATCAATATGTTCACCTTATTTCAAGAAAATGTTTCAACTGAATCCATGTCAACATCCAATTGGTAATTATTAGCTGTTTAATTGGAATCTCATTATGCTTGTAAATCAGCTTCTTTGTATTATTCTCGTTACATGTACCTTTCTTTTATTACAGTTGTATTGAGGGATGTGACTCACAAAGCTATGAAAGACTTGCTACAATTTATGTACCATGGAGAAGTTAGTGTGAAACGTGAAGATCTCACTAGTTTTATAGGAACAGCTGAAGTTTTACAAATTAAAGGATTGACAAATAAAGAGGTCAGTTACCGTTATATTAGTTTAACACACTAACTTTATATTTTGATGCTGCTTTTAAAGATTGTATTTGTCAGGTCTATACTAATTATTATTCTGTATTGTCACTTTCAGACTGAAGAAGATGAAGATAGTGAAAGAGAGCAAGATTTACCTAAACACAGAACTGAAACTCAAAACAACACTCCTGATGCGGAGTCATGTGTGTCAGACACCTATGACACAACTCTCAATGATGAGACTACACAAAACAATGAACTAGAACTGCTAAAACAAAGGCAACTCATTGAAAAACTTCACAGAATCAGTAATCTTAAGAGAAAATCCACTGAATTCCTTCAGAAGAACTACTTTTCGGACATACTCAACCCAGAAAAGAGGCCAAAAACAAAAGAAAAAACTATTTACACTCAAAATAATCAAATATACCAATCTAATAATTATGAGAACATAAAAAATATGTATGAAGATAGCCCAGTAGACATTTCTGCTTCTTATAACACACATATATCAAAAACAAATTCTCAAGAATTTATTGAAAAAAGTAAGGATCAGTCTCTATCTGATAATGGCCTAGAAATGAAGACAGAATGTGATGATAGTGACATCATAGTGACAGATCCAGCAGTATGTTCTACACCTAAAAATTATGAATCTGCTAGAGAAGGAAAGAAAGATCTGTCTGTACCAATAGACTATCCATCCCCACAAGACAGTAAGTATATTTTATCTCAATAATGATTACCTACAGCACTCTGACATAATCTCTACCATCACAACAAATTATTTCAAAAACATTTTCTTTGCTTGTTAATGCTTCTTCATAGTACTGATCAAAAAAATCAGAGATTGTGTTGAAAATGCAATCATTTTATTTATTTTTCACTAAGAAATTTTCCTGTTTTCTTTTGCATTAAGCTTACAATTATGAAAACACGATGGCATTTTCAACAATTTACAATCTTTAATATACAATATATTTGTGGCTTTTGTTATTCAAACAGTGCAATGAAAATGCCCATCGTGATTTCAGATACCAGCTTGAGTTCGTTATTCATCGACCTTAAAAACTTAGTGAATGGTAAGGTGACTAACAATGCACTGAGAACTAACTCAAGTGAAGAGTATCCTAGACCAACATTGGAGCACCAACTGGTAACTATACCGCAAAAGGAAGATGGAAAGAAAAAATATCCACAGCGTTCATGTCGTCTTTGTTGGAAAATAGGACGAAGACGGGACACTCGGTTTATGTGTAGTGCATGTGAACTGCCATTTTGCAAAACACCTTGCTTTGGAATTCATTTTAATGACGTACTAAGAGTATCTCAATTGCAAGGCGATTATTATGCAAATTAACATTTTATTTATACAAGCTTAACTCCCTAAAGGGAGCTATTTATAAGTGGAAAGTTAAATAGTATACATAGAAGATAAAAATCTACTTAGGCTTGTAGCAACTACTACATATTTATACAATTTTATTGCACACAAAGCTGAATCATAGATTCGAATAAGATTTGGGACCAAATCTATAAACTGAATGATTGTGACAAAAAAAACCTTAAAAAGTTGCATAAGTTTAACATAGCCCGGTCATAACAAAACACAAAAATTTACACACACACTACACAAATTTTTGTTTGCAATTTTTGGAATTTTTTTACCAAATTTGCATATGTAAAAGTCAGTTGAATGCCACATGAGTTGAGCTGGTCTCAAATTTTGATGTGACTATCTTTTTGTATAGTTCGTTCAATAATTAGAGACAAACATTTGACATTTCGAGTGTTGCATGTTTTTTCCATTTCATAAATAGTGAAGTCCCGCGACCGGTGTTTACCGAAAGTAATTTGTATAACTATTACCTATTAGCATTGATATAATTATTTTACAAGAAACTATGGTCTGCTTTGGAATTCTCTCACAGCAATTTCACAGATGGAATGTCAAACATAATTTAAGCCTAGAAAAAGGTTGGTATTGGTTTCTATAATTATAAAAATAATGTCTGTCAGTCAGATTGTAATATTTTGTCTTCAGGTAAAAGTACCTGACCAAGTCAGTCTTTAGACAAGCCTTACACATACCTAAAGTTTTGGGTCAATAAAAGTAAAACATGGAATAAAGAAGAAAGGCGAAATCATAGCTCAATTTTATGGGGGCATCCACAAGTGATTGATATGCGGAGGCAATTCTATTATTTTTCTACTTTTTTTTTTCAAGTATCACATTAACCAGTCAATGTCGGATAAAAAAGATATTTGAAATGAAAAGTTATATTTCTACCAAGTACAGCATTATTATATTAAAATAAGTTTTTGTTTTTTATTATAATTAAATGCCAATTCCAATTGGAACTTCGTATGAGGGAATAGGAACTTTTCTAGAGTGGTATGGAGCGTTGTCGATTACTAGCACCGAGTTTTCTTTAAATTGGGAAAATCCCTTTCAACCACTCTTATATTGCTGCGAGTTCATTTTTTTGTATCTTCAAGTCTTTTTTGGAAAGGCAATGTTGTTGGTCGGCCGGCCACGGCCCACCGTGTACAATTGACCGACAAGCTGCAGGTGTAAAATGATTGGCAGTAGGCCCTAAACAAGGTTATTTCGACTTCTGACTCCTTGAAATATCTGGCAAACCTGCAAGCCAGCATGTTGCTGCGAATCGTGAGCCCCCTGCATTCCCATTCTATATCTAGGTCATCTGTTAGGTCTTCATTAACAACATGTCCTAGGTACACTGAGCTTGCCTTAGCGCCACCCTTACAAATGAAGCATTTATTTGCCCCATCCGAAACACTGACAACTAATTTTTTTGACGTTATATGTTAATCCATGTTCTTCAGCATATACCTCACACACCTCTAGGAGCGCAGGGCACTTATCGATGGGCTCAACAACACCATGTCATCGGCGTTACATCTATGGAGCAGCCTACAATGGTGTTGTTGAGCTCACGCACCAGCGCCCTCACATAATATACATATATGTTAAACAATGTGGGAGAGCTCAGCCCCCTGCCTGACTCCACATTCCAGTTGATAGGGATCAGACATGGAGTCTGCCCATTTAACTAAATTAGTCTGGTGTCTTTACTAGTAGGTACTCGAAAATCCCAGTTATACCGTCCGGCAAAATATTTTTATTCAAAAAAAAATATTTAAAAATAAACGGTATCGGTATTTTAAAACATCGTACGGGTCCATCACTATATGAAAAAATCTGGCCACATTATTTTGTAGTTTGACATTTGCGGTTGTCAAATCGTTGTCTCTAATTATGGAACGAACTATAGTTGGTATATGAACCATACCTTTATTTACTTTCTTATTATTTGATATTAGTATATGATTGAAAAAAAGACTTGAAAGGAATAAAAGTTCCAAACATTTAAGTTATTATGATGTCACAGACATTATTATCAATCTTTAGCTATGTTCAAAATATTGTAACCTATCCCTAATAAGGCCTACTGACCGGGCTAGTAGAGTATAGATTTATTTGTAAGTACCAGTTACATTTTGGAGTAATAAAGATCATAAAGCACAATAATTAATTAACTGTGATAGTGGGACGATGCTCTCAAGTGCCAATTAATCATTAAAAAACGAAGCTATTTTTATAAACTTGCATTCAATTAGAGAGTACACATATTTTTCACACTTTTAATAAGTGCCATTATATTTCGCCATAAAATTTTGTAAAGACTTTATTGCTCATTTTCTAGTCTATTTATTGTACTAATTTAAGATATGCAACAATAAATTCTGATGAAATGTTTTAAATAATTAATAATCTAATTTTTAGTTTTGGACAAGTATTTCGACATGAAAATTTTGATATCAAAATGATCTCTATTACACGTATTTTACATAATTTTTTTAACATTTATTGTATAAGAAACATTGAGATTTACATTCCTGATTTTTACATTTGTAATTTTATAATACCTAAGGCCTCTGTGTGGAACGATTACTTAACTTTTTATTCAAGAACAAGTGCTATTTTTAATGTGTGATGTTACTTAAAACTGTGTTTTGAATGATATATAATAAGCGAATGTATTTTTATATCCATATTTGATTAAATGCTATATAAACAAAAGGACATATTTTATTTTATTAGACATATTATATTCGTAGATTTCTTAACCTGAGTGAAAATTGTCTTTAAGATACCTTATTTTTTACAGGTGCACTATCACTAGTTGTGAATGGATCCAATGAAAACCAGCAGCTACCGGTTCGCTACAAATACATTTACAGTAGAAAAGGTCACAAACAATTAGTGCATATGAACTTTGTGTACACCAAACATTCAACTACTCATGGCAAGACTTCGTGGCGATGTGTACAATACTTCTCGTTAAATCGATGTCCCGCCACTGTGGAGACTATAGACTCTATGATCTACGCCATCAATCATCAACACAACCATGAAGATTGTTACGAGAAATTATCAAGAAATAACATCTACGAAATGTGTGTCTCGCCTAAATAGAAACTAAGTTTCATGTGTACATAGTATTATTAATATAAGTTGACCTCAAATGTAAGCGTTATGAAGTGATCCTAGCCTGGGCAAGGAATGTTCTTCGGCGTTATAAAAAGCCTCAATGAGGTCTAAGAAGTTCCTATGTTTTATTTAACAGTTATTTGGTCTACACCTCTCATATAACACTATGTATAAATTTCGGAATGGTTTTTATACGTAATTATACCTTTAGACTTATCTAGTCAGAAGATAGATTATTTTCATCTTGTAAAAACATATTTCTGTCCCTGTAAGGAATAATTAATAATATAAAAACATTTATTTACTTCTTATTCGTTTTATTCAACATTTAAAATATGTATAACAAAGGTATTTTTTATGTATAATTATTTACAATTTGAAAATAAATTACGATTATCGCTTTTCTTGACAAGGTTTAGGTGTGAGCATTGCCTGCATTATTTGCATAATACCATCTGTACTTACATGTAAAATGTTACGGTACTTCAAGTATACTTTACGATGTATTTTCTGTTCATCTATTTATTTGATTCGTTTGTTATTCCCAGCTGACTGTTCTGCAAGCATAGCTGCCATTCTTTTTCTTGGTCTATGCTTTTTACTGAATCCTATTCCTAAAATAATTTAAAATATTAAATAATAATTTAAAATTCATTCATTGGCAATGAAATACTAGATCTCTTTTAGAGTTTTAACTTACGAACGTCAACATCTGGCCGTTCTTTTAGACCGAATGATCTTGCTACAGCGTCGACATCCATTGTTATTAAATTAAATATATGTTTTAATTTCTTAACTTCAAATGCCCTCATGTACCCTTGAAAAGCTTCTACAGCTAACTCGTAAAACTGTGGGTCTGACATGGCTGCATCAAGCTGAAAATTTTAAATTAATTTTTTTTTTTTACTTTAAAATTCGAAGTGCATATTATGACTATAGCTAGTTATATAAATAATGTACCTTAGGCTGTAAATTTGCAAACTTATCCCACGACTCATATTTATCTAAATATATTTTAGATTCTTTCAAATACGAAACAAATTCTACTTCGTCTGGTCGCAATAAAATTACAGCATTTCCTTCTGCTCCCATGCCTCTAGCAGTTCTGCCAACCCTATGAATGTATTCCTGTAATCATTGAAACAAAACACTTTAGAGAACATTGATTTGACACATTATATAAAATGAAAGAATTTATAAAAATTAACATATTAATGTTTTGACTATTTTTCTCTCAGTTTTAGAACAAAAGTGCTCAAAACTAGTAATAGCTACTTAATAGACCACTTACATTAGCATCTGATGGTGGATCGAATTGTACGATCCAATCAACAGCTGGTATATCCAACCCTCTTGCTGCTAAATCTGTGCAAAATAATGCTACTTTTTCTGCATTGTAGAAATTTGTTATGACATCTGTCCTATCAGTTTGGCTCATTTTACCCTGCAAGAATAATCTGAACTTTATATTCCTGTAGTAAGGATTTGTTTTGTAGTTCAGGATAGCAGAGATGCAAAAAATCTTCAGCATTCAGATATTACATAGTCTGTGTCAATAATGTAGACAAAGGTATTTTGTGTAAATAAACTATTTTTCTTTTTTATTTATTGATATTTTGAAATATGATTCTTATTCGTATTTTCGTATACTTACATGAATACATAAAACAGGAGCTTCACAGTACTTGCTAAAAAATTCATGGTGAAATTCAACAGACTTGCAGCTTGAGAAAAACACCATTACTTTGAAGTTACGAGTTTTCTTTAGTAATTTATGTAACCACCACAGTCTGTACTCTGTTTCACATACAGCATACCTGAAATTGTACAAAATAAAATGATATAACAACATAAAATTAAGTTTTATATGTGGTGGTGGACCGGAGTTTAAAGAGCCTCATGCATAAAGGAGCACCATGGTGTGGGTTCGAAACCTGGCAAGTGCCAATGTGACTTTTTCCCAGTTATATGTACTTTCTATGATTATTTAGACACCACTAACATATGGTGAAGGCAAACATCGTGAGGAAACCTGGACTTATAATTTCTAAATAAGTTTTGGCAAACCGCATTGAGCAAGCCTGGTGATTAATGCTCTAACC